TTTAATTATTTTTAAGCACTAAAATTTAGAACGATTGACCCACAGGAAAGTGAAGATGAAATGTTTTAGATCCTGGAGGATAATCAGTCATCAGCTGGTGGCTCATTTAGGAGACAAGGAAGTGCAGGATGCTGAGGACAAGAGACATTACTTAACCCTGGAGCAGTCTTACTCCCACCTAGTTCCCTCACTTACCCAGGTGTCCCTGACAGTCCTGTCAGTGCCAATGAAACCCCTAACCAAAGCTCTGAGTGTCCTCAGGATGCTTAGTGTGACATGGGTTTCCTAAGGGATTCCGTGCCCCTTTGATTCCACAAAGTGTGCCCGTGGCTAAGTGGATGGGGGGTATGTCCTGAGATTGACTTGGTTAGTGTGTTTGCCAGTCATGGATTCCTTCCTTCAAGCTTTTTCCATTGAATTCGGAGAAACAGCCTGTGGACTTGGTTACCTAAATCACATGCTTGGTCAATTCAGAAGCACATGGTCTTTCTCTATTTCCCTGTTTGGCATGGACCTGTCGATTCAGTGTAAATGGGTAACAGAGTAGCTTTTTGTAGATGGGGTTCACATCAACAATGGGCTACTGATTTCCCCAAATAGCTTCTTCTAGAGTCACAGCAAATGCATTGGGAAGTTTTATCACTGTCTCCTCCTGGCCCAGCGGTGGTCTGTGCTGTCAAAATACACAGGTAATTCCCACTATTAAGGAGTTTCATTGTGTCCATCTGAAATTGTATGCCTCTCTTGTTATGCCTTTTTACTTGGAAATAACTGCTTCAGCCATTCTTTTCTAAGAAGCTTTCCTGGCTTAGCTGAAGGAGAGGCTCAGAATTGCTCCTGATTCTTTCCTGCCCTTAGTGATCACACAAAACGCACTGCTTTGGGTGGGTTCGCCCTCTGCTAAGTGGACTCTGAACTGTGGGCTGCCATTTAGGTCTCCTCAGCCCGGTGTTTGCCTTGGAATGAGGTTTCCAGGATAATGCCTCGGTTTGTTACTGGTGTTATTTTACACTTCGTACAATGCTGTTTGTTGGTGTATTTAATGATGATTATTATATTAAAAATCAATTGTGACATCAGATATCTAATATCACTCCAGTATCTAACCTAAATTTTTGTGAATGTTTAAAATGTGAACGCATATTACTTTTGAGGAAATTTCAAAAACACCGCATTCTGCTTATTTTAAAAATTAATTTTAAGGAAGGGAGAGATAGGTTTTAATGGGTGATTTTTAAAGAAACATTAAATGAGTTAATAAAAGCCAAAATATACACAGTACCTACTATGAGCCTGAAACACAGGGGGGTTAAATAATTTGCCTAAAGAAACATAGCTAGCAGTCTACGGCCATACCACCCTGAACGCGCCCGATCTCGTCTGATCTCGGAAGCTAAGCAGGGTCGGGCCTGGTTAGTACTTGGATGGGAGAAACATAGCTAGCAAATGGTAGTAGAGTCCAAACCAGTCCTGGGTTTTGAGTCTGTGCTTTTAACTACTATGTATATTTAAGGTAGAGAAGCTGCTTAGCAGTGCTTGGTAAGTAAGAAGTGCTCAACAAATGGACACTAAACTTATAATTTTTTTTTTTTATGATTCCAAGCTTTGGGTACGTCTGCCTTCCTTAGAATCACTTCTATAATATTGAATGAGGTGTAAAAAGAGCTATAAAATGTATTATAATATCCTCAACTGTCAAATTTTTATTAGAATATTGGGAAGTTTATTTTAGGAGATGTACAAAAAAATCTAGGACTAAAAAAAATAGTAAAACCATGGCTTTTAAAAAAACAATTGAGCAATTCTTGAATTTCCATTATGTGCAGATCCCTGGGATAGGAGAAGCAAGAAAGATGAATAAGACATGGGTCCTGTCTATGAAGGGATTTAAAAGTGGTCACAGACAGTGCACGGCATGTGAGAGAGTGGACACGAAAGTGCAGAGCATGGGCCTGATGTAGCTGTGAGCCATGCACAAACCACTTGAGCTCTCCAAAGCTCAGTTTTGTATTGTTGGGGTGGTGATTGCTAGCATTGAGAATAAAGATAATTATGCCTAATTCATTCTACTTAAAGGGGAATTTAAATGAATGGTGCAAAGGAATCACTCTGTCCTTAGCAGAGAGTACATGTGCAGCAAACAACTGTTGGGAAAGGTGAAGCTTGAAAAACTTGCCTGGTTGGCACATTCACTGATACACAGGCTTATACCCTGCCACGGGGCATAGTGTTGGGAACCCTTCGCATGCTGTGCCTGCCAGGACCTTGGAAGAGAAAAATAATCTGGGGCCCAGTTACTTCTTAGAATGATGAGCTGAAGAACAAAGAGCAGCTGCTCCCTTAGAGGCCAGAATAGGACTTCTAACGGTGACTCCCATACCATCTACTTTGTTATGGAGATAGAAAAAGAAAAGCAAACTATAAAAAAGGTAGCATATGTGTGGTTTCTGGTTTTGTTACAGGTTTATGAACTCTGATGAGGCCACCATGCTGTGAGCTGGTTAAGCATCTTACAGTGCTCATATACTAACAAAATTGAGAAATACAGAGGTTTCCTGAAAGTGTCAATCAGTCCCTTGAGAGATTCACAGAAATGAAGTTTTTCATAAAGAATCCACATTCCCTATAAAGAACCTTGATGCTAACTTTTCTATTGTGTCACAAGAATGTTAATGGATGACCTTAGGTATACAGGTTCATAGACTGTATTCAATGGTAATTAATCTCACTGTGTTCTTGTATAAAAGGCTTGCATTGCCATTCGAACTGATATGAGGCATGACAAATGGAAAATCATTAAATTTTATTATCAAATTGTTGTGTGTTGTTTTTTGCCTCCTGCAGATCTTGAAGACTATCCAAGCTAAATTATGTCCCCAAGGACTTAATTTTCAGCCTTAATTTCCTTAGTCCATATCCCCATTTGGATTTGGAGAGGATTTCCAAATTAATGTTAATAAAGATTTAAAAAATCCTTGGAGGAAGAGTTCTGCTAGCCATGAAATCAATAGTAAAATTACCAGGATTAAAAAAATAAGTTTTTATTTAAAAAGTTGTGCCGCTGGAAGAATACCTCAAGAAATGTTTTAGAATAGAAACGCAGGAGTAAGTACACATGTGCACTTCTATAGAGTCTTATGGGCGCTCTTTAAGTGTTTGTTGACTAAATGAATTAACAAGAAAAGCAGCACCAAGAGAGCTATAATGCAACTCTTTTATAACCATGCAACTTTCAAGCCACTTCCCAAGGACGATCTACTTAAGGACACGGTGTCACACTTTGATATTTTGCATTGAGAGGAGCCCAGTAGGAGTGAGCTAGAACCCAATAAAGGGAGGATGTGATGGACAGCCACCTCCCTTGGGAAATAGCTGACACATAGAGACAGTGATAAATGTTTGCCAAATTGAATAGTTAAATGCAAGGTCTGTGCTGGAAACATGACTTTTATGTTTCTCAAGGTCTGTGATAAAAGACTATTTTCCAGGTAAAATCACCTTGCGATATGCTGCTTCTAACACTTGGAACTCGGACACGAGGAGTCAATATTAGTTTTCCCGCTGTAGAGCTTTGTCCTCCAGAGATTGAAGCTGTGGGGGTTTTGTAGCAGGAGCTACTCTCAGCTGCCTTAGATAATTCATGAAGCAGTGATGCTGAAATCTCGGCATGGGTACAGATTCCCCAAGAGTCTGTTGTAAGTGCAGGCTCTGATTCAATGGGTCTGGCTTAGTGATGTTGGTGATCCTGGTCCATGAATCACATGTGGAGCAGCAAGGTCCCGGAGGTAGATTTATGAGTAGAGAGAAGAAGCAGGAGTGGTGTGATAGACGAGCACTGGCTCTTGACTCAAAAGATGGATTATGTGAATATGATGAGTCACCTGACTCTTCTGCATCTAAATGTTCTCATTAGAGAAAAATTAGTATAATAAGACACTAATACCTGCTGCATGGGATTGCTGTAAGAATAAAATTAATAATGTTATGTGAAACTTTACCAGAGCATATGGTAGATATTCATTGCTGATGAAACAATTGTTGATTCTAAATAGAAAGGACATAGGCACATGATTCAGCATTGGTAATGGGGAAAGATAGGGGGACCTTTTGGCTTTGTACTCTGTAGTTCCAGGAGTTCCAATCTTCCTTCCTCTTCTTTTGCCAGTTACAATATCTACCACTTAGCAAGGGATCAGTGTTTGTGAAACTGTACTAGCAGCAAAGTTGATCATTGCCTGTGTACATTTTTTTTTTCAAATATGTTGATATCAAGAAAACAACCCAGTGTCTCCCCAAGGCACTAATAGGAGACAGAACTCTCACCCCAAATAATGGGAATAACGTAGGGGCCTTGAGTCCTTTATCAACCAGAAGCACAATCCCTGGAAGAAGATTAAAATGAAGAACACAGATGCAGCCTCAATTCTGCATCAAAATATGATAAAATAGCCGATTGTTCTTAGCCAGCCATAGTCATTTTATAAGCTATGTTTAAAAAATGTATCTCTCTTAGAAAAACAAAGACTGACATGGACAGTTTGGCTGGCTTGTCCCTGATAGGTGGGGTGGCTCAGCCCCCATAAGGCACCCGGTCCGCAGTGAGGAGTGGTACTAGAGGGCCTCAAGTCGTCTTCCACAGCCTAGTTATGGCTCCCGTGCACCCAGGGAAGGTCCCACATTGCTGCTCTGAGGGCTTACCTTTCTGGCTAACACACTTGTGAGATATGAAATAACAACTCCCTAAAAGTGCACAGCAGGATGTAGAAGGTAGATAAATCACTGAATAATCTGCAGCAGCATTTACGTCTTAACATCTCGTTCCACCAAGAATTCAGAGATAGAAGCTGTTGACTCAAGATAGTGTTATTTCAATTCATTTTCAATGATACCCTGAGTGATTCCGTTAATCCTTGCTAACATAAACAGATCTTGAAGTCTAATCAGAAGGTTTAAATAAAGTTTTATTAAAAGATGTTCCCTCTCCCTCTTGTACTCTACAGGTCCCAGGAGAAAAAAGAAGAGGCTGTCACTTTGCTGAAAGATTCCATTCGATATGGTCCAGACTTTGCAGATGCGTATTCAAGCCTCGCTTCATTACTGGCTGAGCAGGTGATTATTTCCATTTCATTTCACATAATTTTTTTTCCTACAGAGTTTTGCTACTGATGGTTGAGTTTATAAGCTCATATTGGACAGCTAATCTCTGTGTCAGTTTTCTTCTTAACAAAAATCTCAAATGTAGTATTCTCACTCCAATATTCTCTGGTTGGTGGAGGTAGTCCTTAGACAAAAATGGTCCATTATGCCCTGGCATGGCATGGTAGTTCAGTTGGTTGGAACTTCATTCCATACACCAGATGGTTGTGAGTTTGATTCCCAGGAGGAGTACGTACGGGAGGTGACCAATCAATGTTTCTCTCTCTCTCTCTCTCTCTTTCTCTCTCTCTCTCTCTCTCTCTCTCTCTCTCATCAATAAAAACATATCCTCAGGTAAAAGTTTTTTTTAAAAAAGTTCATAATAGGCCTTTTGACATAGTCTCTATCACTTCGAGACAAAAGCTGTCAAGAAGAATGCACAGTATGTGCTGGTTTTATTACTATTGTCACATTTTTCTGGGGAATTGTTAATGTACTGAGATCTCTAAAGTCAATATGGAGTCAATTACTACTCATTTTATAGACCAAGTGTCTTAATATCAGTTAGAAGGTCACAGGGGCTTACGGGACAGGCTCATGAGACAATATTTCTCTCGGCATCAAAGAGGGGTATCTCATTCCCTCCTTCTCACCTGTGTCTAAGAGATTTGGTACCACTTTTCAATGTCCTGAATGCCTGCCCTCTGCTGTGGGGAAACAAATGTCAGTTGTCTTCTCTAAAATGATGATAAGTTTTGTTGATACACTTAAGTGCCCTTGATAGACAGTAGGTTCGGCTATCATGCAATTGCCAGATTGTCTTTAAAATCAAACTCAGCGTCTTTGAAAGATGCCCTGAACCATCAGTTGGCTTAAATGTAATGAATGGCTTGGTACTGCATGTCAAGTTCATAGAGGTTCAATTTGCAGGTTTCACTGGGAAATAAAATTAAAGCATTCTATGAATATTTAAGTATCAGAAATGATAAGGCTAGTTAGTTGCTTTGCTCTAATACTCTACATATAATATAAGTGGGCTTTAGCAAAAAGCCCATGTCTATAATGGGTGATTTTAATGCAGACTTTAGCACAATATTTAAGCTAAAATGATGACGGTGATATTCTATGATATACTCTGGCAGACTTCAGCTGCCTTTGGCTTATACTGAAACAGACACAGTAGGGATTTTCTGAGGAAATCATTGGCTCCATCATGATTCCCTTTTCTCACCTCATCCTGCGTCCTTTACTTTGATAAGAAGGCCTTCACCCTGCCTATGACTGAGTAGCTGGCTGTCTTGCAGCTACTCAGACTTGCCGAGCATGCTTCTCACTCAGAACCTTTGCATTAACTGTTCCATTTGCATGCAACACTTTTCTCTCATATCTTACTTACCTTCCCTGTGTCATGCTGGTTTTAGCCCAGACATTACTATATCAGAGAGGTTGTCTGTGACTAACCGTTTAAATATTAACCTCACAACTGCCCGTCTTGTTCTCTATCACCTTACCCTGCTTTTCTTTTCCCCATAGGGCTTACCACCACCTCACATGTATTTATTTGTCTGCGATCCTTCTCCCACCACCAGGATACTTAACTCCATGAGAATGGGTTTTATTCATGGTTATTTCCCTACCTCTGTCACCTTGCATGCAATCAATACATTTTGAGTAAATAGATGAGTTAATATGAACTGACGAACATGGAGTCCTTCCAGTCTGGCATATATTCTAAATTTACTCTTATATTACCAGGAGGCTGGGCATGTGCCTCAGCATGATGCTTTTGTCTTCCCCTGAGGAAGAGCATGTGACATTGCTCATTATAACCATCAGGTCGGGGATGGGGTTGAGGCCAGCGCCTCCTCCAGCATTCAGTGGCTTCTTTATGACATCTCGAGGGAGAAATTTCTCTCAAGTTTCAGTATTAGGAAAGGCTAGACTGTTGAATCACAAGATTTTTGTTTTCTTTTTCATCTGATGCATGATAAATCTTGCAAACACTGGAAAGGTTAAATCTCTCCCATCCCCTGCTCCCCACCTTTGACTAACAACCAGTCCGGACTCTACAATCTGCTTTTCTGTGTGTGCTGTTTTTACTCCTGGCTTTATTGACATGTTACTTAATAATTATTTTATTCACTGTATGTTTTATATTTTTGAAAGCTGCTTCAGTTTCTTTGTGGAATAATAAGGTGTAAATAAGAAGTAAGTGAGTAAATAAATAAATAAATAAATAAGGCATTACATTAGTAGTTTCCACTAATATTTTCCCCCACAACTCACAGAACAGATAATAAACATTAAATTTCTCTTCTTGATGAAAATGGCCCTTAAGGTAAATGACTATATTACTTACCAAATACTAATAATAACCTAGTATTTTGTTTTAGGGAAGCTCTATACAGATAATTCACACAGTTCCATCTTTCTGTAATGGCATCTTTTCTTTCTCTCCCTTCAACTCTCCCTTTTTCAAGATCCAAGTAAACTTCTACTTCCTCTTTCAACATTCTTCCACCTTCCCATCTCATGGTGAGTTATATTTCTTTGGAGCTTTTACAACTTTTTATGAAGCACATATTAATTAATCACATTTTATTAAATTAATGCCTTGAACTATAATTTAAACAGTTTTTGAGGTTTATTTTCCTTACAAAACTGCAAGTTTCTGTGAGAAAAGCAGCATTGCCAGCCTGGTGTGGCTCAGTGGTTAAGCATTGACCTAGGAGCCAGGAGATCACAGATTGATTCCAGTCAGGGCACATGCCCAGGTTTTGGGCTCAATTCCCTACCAGGGACATGCAGGAGGTGGCCAATCAATGATTCTCTTTCATCATGGATGTTTCTCTCTCTCCCTCTACCTTTCTCTCTGAAATCAGTAAAAATATATTTTAAAAAGTAATAAATAATAAAATCAATTATGTGATAAATATTTTTTTGTGGACCACAATGGCAAGTTGATGTAAAAGTCATTGCATAGTTGAAGTTATGAAGAATTCTTACAAAAACCACATTGTGACTATGGTCATGACCTTTACTAACATGCAAAGGTCACAACTTTTGCCAGTGGCTCCTATTCCAGGTTCAAATGAAAAATGCTGTGGGATCAAAGAATGTAATGGAAAGAGTGGAAGGATCTCTGTTCTGCTCTTTTGGGCAGTTGATTTTAACATCAAAGAGAGAAGCCGATGAATATAACTTGGGATTGCCTCCCTCTCTTGCAACATATTGTCTTCATGTTTTGAGTTCTTTAGTGATAAAAATGTGCTTCAGATATACAAACAAGGCACAGAGAAAATATTAGAAGAAAATTCACCTAGTTTCACATTCTTTGGCAGCAAGATGAATTCATTTTTTGTGTGTCATGACCTTGTTTAACAACATTCCGCAGTTTCAAACATCCAGGGTATACGAAAGCAACATTGACAAACCTTGGCCAATTTAAGACACACTTGTGAAACTCTCCTCTCAGGTTATCTCTGGGCCACCTGTGCCCATGGACAGCCGTGCTTACTGCGGGGTTGTAATGTCAGAAAACTCTTTACTGCACTGAGCTGATATCCACAGTCCTATAATTTGCTCTTACTAGGCCAAGGGCAAAAGAGAGCTTCTTGACCACAGCTTATGAGCACAATTACTGTGTCACTTCTCTAATTATCTTTCTTTTTTTTTTTTTCAAAACAGGCAGAAGCCTGGAGTGGCCTTAGATATTCAGTTTGCTTATCCATGGTTTAATTTTTTTAAATATATTTATATTGATTTTAGAGAGGGGAAGAGAGAGAAACATCATTTGGCTGCCTCCTGCACACCCACAATGGAGATTAAGCCCACAACCCTGGCATATGCCCTGACAGAGAATCAAACTGTGACCTCCTGGTTCATGGGTTGACACTCAACCATTGAGCCACACCAGTCAGATTATCTCTTTTCTAATCCAATCCCACTTCTTTTAACGTGTTTCTCATTTACCCTGGTTTCTAAATGCTTTCCTTTTCTTCTGGTCATGTTGCTTTGTCTGGCCTCTGGATTATTTATTTTCTTCATGACAATATGGCTCCCAAATGGAATAGAAATACTTACTTTCCTGTCTTGATATTCCGTGTATCTATTTCATCACACCCTAAAATGAATAATGCTAGTTGTTTAGCTTCCACATGATGCTCTGGCTTAGATTGGAGATTCATCCCACGGAAATCCCTAAAAATGTGAAGGTTTGTTAATCCAGGTCTCACTCATTTTGCAGGCAACTTTTCCTAACCTGCATGAACAAATTCATCTTTATCCATCTTTAATCTCTGTTTCTTTATATCAGCCTGAAACTTCAGGTGTTCTAGGACTTTTTAGTCCTTTTATATGCCATTCATTTTACTACCTTTTCCAGCTATTTCAGTTGGCAAATTGAGTAAGAATAGCTTCTAGGTATTTATTTACTTTTTTTTTTTTTTTTTAATAAAACAGTGTTGCCTAGATCAGTAGTAGGTAGAAAGCCTACAGTGTGTCTGTAGAATTTTCTCTCCAGGTTGACCTCTGTTTTACCCAAGACTCTTTTATGTAGTTATTCAAATTTTGGCTACTTCATTGAATTATATTATCATCTAGCGCACCTCTCTCAGTCTTGTACACAAGAATGTTGTGAGATACTTTGTCAGACTCTTTCTAAAATATTTCCCTCGATATAAGTTTGTGATTCTATAAAAATAAATAAATAAATAAATAAATAAATGGGAAAAAACAAGACCCACTTGGCGTGCCCTCCTGTTACTGTAAGTATGCTGCCATCTGTTGACACCATTTCCTATCCTCACTGCCAGTAAAACCACCTTCTAGGTTTTTTCCTGTGACTGATGTATTTCTCACTCTCTTGGAACCTGAAGGTAGTAAGTAAATTTGGACAGATTAGAGAATCTGAGAAGGGGGCATTTGAAAAATAGGTTAGTAAGCTTGAAAAGACATTCTATGGTGGAATATAT